TTGACGGGCCGGCCTTTAATATTTCTTTTGCATATATCCCGAAAACAAAAAAAGAATTTCTGACTAGTTGTTGAACAAAAAGTGTTCAAAATCATGAGAGCTTTAAAATGATATCAAGAAAAAGGGGCTGACTTCTCACATTAGGGGCCAAGAAGGGCCGAAAGTCTTTAATCTATATTCCTTTAATGATCAATATTTTGTAAAACATTATTAAAGCAAAATTGTTCGTCTTAACAATTTATTTATATCATTATATTTGAACAAAAATCTCAGTAAAATTCTTATCTCATCTTATCAAAAATCGGACAGAAGACCCACTCGTTGCTCGCAACGAGATCTCATCTAGTTAAGGTCTTCCGTCTTCAGCGGAAGACCTTCTTGTTATTCTTCGGTTTCTTTTCCACTGTTTTTCTTATTATTTTTTTTCTTACTGATTTTGTGCACGCAATTTCTCGAAAACGGTTCGCTTGATTTTCATGAAATTTTCAGGTCTGATAGAACATTAAAAAATCTTGATACATATTTTTTTATTTTGATGACGTCACTTCCGGTCCTAAGATTTTTGCGATTTAGTGATTTTTGGAGGGTCAGTTTGTCCGCAGGTTTTCTAAGAAACCACTCATCACAGGAACATGAAACTTTTAGGGAAGACAGAGTAATATATGTAGATCTGTAATACGTAGTTAACTTTCACCGGAAGTGCCACACGTCGACGCTCGCTATGGCCTGAAAAAAGTCATATCGAAAGTTTCAAAATTTCGAACACTTTCTGTACGATATCTTTTTACTTGGAAATATTTTGTTAAAACATATATAACAAAATTTGTGCAGAATTACAAGATCTTTTAAATGATATCTCGAAAAAAGGGCTGGCCCCTAAAATAAGGAATCTAAAGGGGCCAAAATATTTTTCCTGATATCTCAAAAAGTATTTAGAATTTGTAATATTTCAAAGAAGCAAAGTTGTTCAACATGACAAGTAGCAGCTTGCGAGATCATCAAAATACGTCGAATGACGTTACTTCGATTCCGGCTAAACAGGAAGTAGTAGAAAATAGCTTATTTTCACAGATATTGGTACAGTGCTGCTATCCCACAAGTTGACATGGGATGGAATTGAATAGGATTCAGGACTGAGGATTCACGATAGAAACATATACTAATTAATCCAATCCAATCCTATCCTATCCTATCCTGTATCGTACAGCCTTCAGATTGGAGTAAAGGTTAATTCATATTTCAAAATAAATTACAGAAACGCAAAAGGACATAGAACGTTTACAAAAGAAATATTTATAAAATCACAAAAGAAAATAAACTTTTTTTTTCTTAACACACATTTATTCTATTACCTTCGAGTAATATGGCGTACGATCTAAACGTGAATGATCACCGGAAGAAGTTTCGGATGTAAACAAAGAAGAGATCGGACATCAAAAGATCATATTTCTTCAGCATGTTTGGATGATTAATTCGATTCCTACTTGTGTTACAGTTCAATAACATGTTTCTCTGTTAAATGTGCTCTGTTTGTCTGGATAATTCCACGAACCGTCAGCGGCGGACTATAACAGATCATAATCGCAGTTGTTTGGTGCAAGACTATGTAAGTATACTACATACTGTTAATGTGTGCATGTTTATACATATCTCTCCCTTTAAGCAATGTTTTAATGACTTGAACTATTAAAATTTTATTCTATTGTAATAAACACAGAAATTGGATGCGGAAAAAAGAGGTTGTGTAGAAAGGGGACGGGTAGGGGGTTTAAATATTTACAAATACTTTGTCACATGATCAGATGTATTACACCTTTTTCGGTTGTTATTGCTATATAATCATTTCCCTACTGTTGTTAAAAAAATATTTTTTCTTATCTGATTGCAATTTAAAATAATTAAATGCAGAATCATCTTGATCATTTCTTATGCTACTGTCAGCAGGTCCAGCACAATCTCTTGATTAAGCTATATAGCTTGAAATAGCTATATAGCTTTATTAAGCTATTCAAAATAGCTTGATAAAGCTATTTATATGCAGATTTTCACAAAAATGTTATATGTACAAAATAGACAAAAAGTCGCAAGTATTTGACTATTCATATATGTAATATGGGTTATCAAATCAACAACCCAAATCAAATATAGTTCTAACATTACAGCATTTGAATACTTTCAAGCAAAAGATGAATTTCCATTGTTTGGGTAACTGTACACTACCTTGTGTGCGGTGAGGCATGGAAAAGTAAGATTGCTTCTCATTGTAATGAATTATTACCAATCAATTAACTTGTTGACCATAATTGACCTCCTTTATAATTTCATTGAAGAAGTAACTGTATCAATTGCTTTATATAGCCCCAAATCTTTTAGAACTCTGAGTACAAAGACTCTTTAGGAGATGCAATTTGATGAGTGATTTTTACATGCATTATTTTCATAAGAGTTCAAGGTTGAATATCATCACTGCACCAAGGTGCGACTTTTTGTGCATACTTGGAAAATAACACATTTGAGAAAAAAGTGTGATAAAATAGCTAAATCAAGCTATTCTGAATAGCTTAATAAAGCTATATAGCTAAATCAAGCTATATAGCTTAATCAAGAGATTGTGCCGGACCTGGTCAAACATGTACTCATATTAGTTAGCAAGTCAACGAGATGAAATGAATTATAATCTACAAGTAAATTATGTAAACTATGATTGTTTAATTAAGATATGAGTTATGACTATGAAGTTGCAGTATAAGATTTGATTTTGCTTGATTTCTTTAAAATTAATGCATTACTCTGGGAGAGAAAAAGGTGAAATTAAGACAATTGTACATGAAATGAGAAAGTTAATCACAATCAAATACAGTATTAATGTATAATGTATATGACAAAATTTTTTTCTTCAGGACAATCCTGCAAATTTGCAGCTGTACAAATTGCACTTATCTCATCTGCTGCTGGAATAAATAATGTAAGATTTTCAAACCAGTGTCCAAGAGCCCCCTAGAGTTTGAAATGAAGGTGTTCTTTATTAAGGAGATCAGTGTGTGATGTATTTGTTTTCTGTGCATTGATGACATTTGTGAAACTGTTTGGTTACTTTATGACCATCTCTCTGACAACTACTTTGACATTTGAAATTCAATTTGAGCGACGGACAAGCAGACCAAATAATATGCATGCAAAACATTATGCAATTGTAATAAGACATTGATAAACTTCAATTTAAACAAACTAGATGTACATGTATCTTTGAGCTTGGCATTGAAATACATGTATACTTTACATGGACACTTTAATGAATTTGTCTCATGATAATGAACATTCAATTGTTATACATTGTAAATATAAATTGTAGATAATATGTATTTGGTCCAATATATATAATTATATTTATATTCACTGAAAAAAGGAATTACCCTGAATAAATATTGTGAACTTGGTCATTTATTTTTATTCCTCATTTAGATACTGAATAACATTCAAGATCAAATGTCAAGGTCAAAAACAAGATTTACTTAAATTTGGGTTATAAATACTGTAACAACTGTGGACTCTTATGCATGTTTTATAAGATCTAAGGAATATGTGTGAGCTGACTACAAAAATTATTGCTGTCAACCTGTCTGACTATGAAGATTTAAGAAAATGTTTTCTGTTAAACATAAATTGATTAAATTCTCACACATAAATATTTTTTTTAATTAAGATACACTTGTACGGCACTGAACTGACCATAAATTGAGAACAAACTGAAGCGAAATAAGAAATTTTAACATTTTGAATATCTTGATTTTTATTTAGCAAACATGATGAAAATGTTGCATGTTTGTAAAATATTCACATACAAACAAATGATGAACTGAACATTTCAAACAAGAATAACTTCAATAAGAAATATAAAACAAATTTTTATCATACATTTAAAATTGAATATAATAAGACAATTTAACTTATTTAATAAATGAATGTAAACATATTCTTGATCTAAATTTTGACTTGTCTGTTCTCGGTTTATGGTCTTGTCATATCTTGAAGTTCTTATTTAGATTTACATCAAAAGTAAAATCTAATATACAGCTGATATAGGTGCAGTTAGATCTATATGTTCATGATGCCCAGTTAAGGGAAAAATAAAGTTTTGCATAAATTTTACATGAACAGATGAAACATACACTTGTTAAAACATCAAACAAATCCTACTTTCGTCATTATTTAGTATGTGTAGACATGATAGAGAAATTGTTTCTTCAATGGGTACGGTTATAATTCAGTGTACCTACCCCACATGAAAGATTTGGTATTCGTGGTCTGATTCTTATAAAGAGTTTAAATTTTGTTCCTTTTGTCTACTTTATCATAACATTAGAAAAGTATCTGCAATCTTTATTGTTTCCCCCTTTTTCTCTCTTTTTGTAGAGAACAAATTCGAAAAGAAATCACAAATACCTTGACGTCTCCCGATCATTGTTAGTATGTAAAATTAAACACAAATAAAGTTTAATTATATTTTTTCTTCAATTCTTCTGAATTCCAATTTCTTCACATGTTCGCTAGATCAATACTTGCCTGCGTTTTATTACAATCCTTTTGTTTACATTTTAACTGGTTACTCGCAAATTAATCTGTGAGAGGTGTCGGAAATTAATGGACGTCGATCTCAATTATTTTTTCTCCATGAAAATTTATTACATTTAAATTAATAACCCTAATGTAGATTTTCCGTAAGATCCGTGGAATTCCATAACAAATTCCGTGGAATTCCATGGAAAAAGTGTTCCATGGAATTCCGAGGAATTCTCGAGAGTATTGGGACGGAACTTTTTTGGAATGGTATGGAATTTCAAATCTAGCCTGGAAAAGAGCGGAACAATGCCAGAATAGAAATTTGCGGAAATAGCTGGAAATCCATGGAATTCCAGGATATTTGGAAATCTATGGAATTCCACGGAAATCCAAGGAATTCCAGGAAAATACAAAAACTGGAATAATCAAAATAATTTAAGGGCCAAATAATTACAAAAAAAAAATGACTACATCACAATTTTTCATAAATCAAATCTATATTTTCAAAATAAAAAATCATTTTTGCTTTACAATGTGTTTGGGGACAAATATTGCATACACACTTCTATGTATAATGAAAGCACAAATTTTAAAAAGTATTATCAATGAAAGTATTTTACATCAAAGATTATTTAAACAATGTTAAAAATCCACAGAAAAATATCATTACTGGATGATCACCTTGGTTTAATTAATGAGAATTATTATAATATACATGCATGTACATGTAGTAAATTACGGTCTGCATGAGAAACAAATGACCTTTGGTTAAAGAAAATCCTTTGTACCTAGAGTAATCTCAAACATATGACATTTTTTAATAATAAAACAAAATAGATTTAAAAAAAAAACATTAATTATGACCTTTTGCTTCATTGAATGACCTTGGGAAAGGTCACTAAAGCCTTAACAGGGTATATTTGCAACATTTGTATACAGTTACAATGATCTTCCAGTGGTCCATATACATTTACCATACAAAGTTAATGACTAGAATGACAAACATATGTATTAAGTACACAAATATCTACTACACAACTATATTTGAAAGATCCCATAAAATCAACACATGCTATTTTTTTCCCCAACATGCCCCAAGATCCTAATTATTGAGGGTCCTAAACTTCTGAAGTATTGGCTAGAATCACTTCCTCACTGGTTCTGTTAGAGGGTGGTCAGATAATTGGTGTCACGAATGGATTCACTTTTGGTACGACGGCTTCAAAAGCTCAGCAAGTTTGATGTTGATCATTCCCAAAGACACTTCAAACTTTTCTTGCTCAATTTCTGAAAGAAAAGATTACCATAAAGATGTATGATATCTATGTCATGTATAAATATATGACAAATAATAAACTAAAGCTATATAAGACAATTGGTTCTTTCAACCTGGCAGATCAGTTTAATACTGTAGAATAGGAATTTATTATCTTGTAATTTTTCGTTCAGATTAGGATTGATTTCTTTTTAAACTAATGGAAGTTGTGAAATTAAAAAAAAATAAAGAGACATGATTGTGTCTAAGTTAATTAACCTTGAATATGAGAGAGAACATTGTAAATTACATAAACTATGTACCCTTAAAAACATTCAGCAAATAAAGTTAAGGTATGAAAAAAAGTACATTAGTAAATATAATTTATATACCATATAAAACATTCAGTTTTGCCTTGTCAATGGCTCGTCTTTTGTCTCTTAAGCTTCTGATTAAAAGCACCTTGAACAGGAGTTTGGACGCCTATGCTGCCTTTGATATATTATCCTCCATATCAGCTTACTCCGTTAACTGACCCTTGAAAAGAGGAAAAGACGAATTTATAGGCATATGTAATTGCTTTAAATGCACATTGGTTAATTTACAATGTAACAAAAATATAGACAAAGCAAATAACATAAAGTGAATATATAGAATACATTTGTTCTAGGCTTCAAACATGCAAATACATGTACATGTACATACACTTTATTTTTGAAAAATTAAGAAAATATTAAATAAACTGTTATAAATACATGTAACTTCCATGCCTCAACAATTCAGTATTGAGTAAGATAATATATTAGTACATGTATACATGTACTTCTTTATTTCTGGAAATTTATATCTGCGACTAAGGTTATAGGTTTGTGTAAGAATATGATGAATGACATTGACAAGGCGTAGGTAAAAACTTGTGAACAGGACAGAGAACTGACATAGGAAACAAGTTAAAAGCAACAACTTCTTAAAATAACTAAAATATATTTGAAAGAGTGGAGTCTAAGGTTCATAATAACTTTTCTCAATGCCTGGCTAACATTGATAAACACATAATTTCAATTCTTTTGATTTTATTGATTAGGAAAATGATTAAAAAATCTTACCTTTGTGTAAATTTCCATACAGCTCTCTCGCTCTTGTCCTTTTTGTGAGCATTCCTGTAAATAATGCATGCATGATTTTATGTCATAGAGTATAGTCATTTTTAATATTTATACTTAAATAAAATGTAAAATGATTATGCATGTAGCATTTAGCATGTTTAGATTACCTGTCAAAAGTTATAATTGTTATGCATTATTAAGGAATTAAGAATATAAACCTCTTGTTACTTGCTCAATAAAAAAATCTTACGCTATAAAACATTAATTAATAAAAACAATGTTAGTTTATTTGTGCTGAATGATAATTTGAGCAGGCTCTCACCATTCTCACAAGCTAGGTGACTGAATGACTTAGCATCTACATCTACATATTAGGACATTTCATCAAACTTGATGATTATATGCCGGCGCTGTGCAAATCGAGTACTTCAGCTATAAAATAATAAAAGTAAGTGCTGTGAATGATCATGAACATGCATTAAAAAATAGATACAATTATTTACAATGTACTCTGTAAATGTAAGTAGTACATGTACTAAGGAATGTTATTAGCTAATAATTCGGACCAGAGTTCTGAACTGGCCCCAAAGAGGCTGCCGACACCACTGAGCATGGAAGAGAAATAAATTTCCATAATGGGGGGGGGGGGGGAACTATATTTAAATTATCTGTGCAAGTACTAAAGGTCTGAAAGTAAGGAAGACTTGAAATGCCTTTGTTGGTGGTAGTCTGTGAAACTAAATAGAGGCTTGGGTCTACCGCAACTAAGTTGTGCACAACTTTATATCACATAGACAGCTTATAGAGCATTATTAGTCTACCACCGTCTACACGTTTTTTCTTTGTTGTAAACATGGTTAAGATAGCAAATTTAGATGTTGCATGTTGCAACATATTGGAGACACTAATAGTGTTATGATGTCTGTGTACGATGTAACATGGACTGTCGTGGTGCAATTGGCAACGTGCCACTAGCATATATAGCGAGGTCTAAGGACATGCACGAACGGAGGAAATTCGGGTTGAAATCCACACATTGTTCAAACATATTTTGATAAGAGATGTTTAGAGTTGTACAATAATTATTAAAGAAATGAAACTCGCCCTAATGGTTTCATCGTTGGGCATTCTATGTGTGTGGTGCCCAGACTGAGGAACAGTCAATTATCCATTCAACTTCAAGAACACATAAAATACTGATTACTGTACATTGTACCTACCGGGTCTTAAAATGTCTGCATCTTTTGTCAAAATACAAATTCCATTCCAAGCTAATAATGACAGCAGTTCCCTTCTTCGTGACACTCTCTTTCCTTCTGTCCAACAATACAACATGGCAGCCGAATTGTTGAATTTTGGCGGGCTGTAGTTTAAATTAATTGTTCATCGAGCCCGACATCGATCCCGACGTAATTGTACTATGAGCCGACAGTTTAAGAAAAAATTCTAAGTTATTTTCCACAGCTTTCCAGAGCAGAAAATGTCTAAGTTTCTCATTTTATCAGCTTTTCCATAGAATTCCACAACTTTCCACACCTCAAAATGTCTAAGTCCAAATTTGTTATTCAAATTCCAAAAGATTCCAAAAACTTCCAAAAACACTTTTAGACTCTTGTATGGAAATGTTTGGAATTCCATGGAATTCCAAAACTTTTCCAAACCCTTTGGAAAATCTACATTAGGGAACACAACTATAACTGATTTTTATTTGATGGTCATTTTATAATTTTTTTTTTCATTTTGTCAAATTAACTTTTTAATATTAAAAAAAAAACAGAGCAGCAGGATAGGATAGGATAGGATTAGACTAAAATCACAGGATAGGATTGTAGATGCAGGATTCACGATAGGATAGGATAGGATTGTCAACTTATAGGATAGCAGCACTGTATTGAATTGAATTATGCATGTCACAGAGGATGTCTGATTGTATTTCCTGTCGAGTATCGTCTCTTTTGTCAACTTCCGGCTAAACCGGAAGTAACTATAAATGACGTATTTCTGCAGATATCAACATAAAATCAAATGATTGAATTCAACCAAGACTTTTGACCCAATTTTCTATAGATTGGGGTCACTTCCGGTCAAACCGAAAATAGTCGTGATATGCTTTATTTAACGAAAATCAGCATAAAAATCATAAAAAACTAAATACAGATCGACATAATTTTTGATCTGGAGGCCTTCATTTTAACGAACACTTTACTTTCATTTATACATCTTACAAGCAGGGCTTCTGAAAATCGGACGGAAGACCTACTCGTTGCTTTGCAACGAGCTTTGCTCTAGTTATTATTATTATTCTTTTTTCATAGTACGGCCGATATCTCAGCTGTGAGTGGACGGATTTCAAAGATTATTTCAGGGAAGATGCATCATGAGAATATCTCCAGACGTGTTTTTCATTTTTTGAAAAATCACTTCCGTTCGCGATTTTTGGGGAAATTTGTTTTTTTTAAATGGAATTTTGTCCGTTAATTTTCTCGAGAACGGCTAAAGATATGAAATTGAAACTCATGGACGTAATAGAGCATAGAATGGAGATATGGTGATCGACTTTTATTTTTTTGTCGTTCTTACTTCCGGTCGCGAACGGAAGTGAATTCAAAAATGTTAAATTTGCAACTTTTTTGTTTTTCAATATTTTTCTTTGAAATTTACAGGGTTAATAGAGAGTTTTGTAAAAATTCTATGTATGTTTTCATCATTTTGATTGATGCATTTATTGCAAAGATATGACCGATCCAAACTTTCTCGTATGTTGCGGGTTCGATTCCTGCAGGGGCGGGAGATTGTTTCTCTCTTTTTTCAGTTGTAAATAATAATTGTCTCCGTGAAGACATGTATGATAGTTTTTGCTTATTTCTGAAAGCTTTGTTAAGAGAGATTCTACAGAAAACCTTTAATAATTATGATCTATGTTGAAAGAATGTGTTACATAAACGCTAACGAAAAATACCTTCAATAAAGTATTAAATGAAGTGAGATAGCATAGCGTTCTGGAGAAACGTTCGGTCGGAAGACCACTTGTTGCCCTAGCAACAAGAAACGCATCTAGTTAAGGTCTTCCGTTTTCACGGAAGACCTTATAGTGATTCTACTGTTTCTTATTATTATTATTATTATTATTATTTTTTTGACCAAATTTTGTGCAGGCGTTTTCTCGAAAACTATTCAGTGGTTTTACGTGAAACTTTCAGGAAAAATTAGTCATTGTATGAAGTTTGTTCATCACAAGGAAAATTTGGAAAATTCCATTCTGGTTCCAAGTTACGGGCAATTTCCTGATTTTTAAATGGAATGTTGTCCGCGAATGTTCTCAAGAACGGTTAAAGATATGAACTGGAGACTTATTGGAGAGCATAGAACGTGACATTTTAATTTGTGGAATCGCCTTTTCGTTCGTCGTCGGCACTTCCGGTCGTGTACGGAAGTGATCAAAGAAATCGTAAAATTTCAACTTTCCTTTTTTGAATTAAATCCTATATCACATTATTGCATCTTTTGTGTAGTTTCGAAATATGTTGGTCCCACCGGAAACAAAAACGTCAACTTCCGGCTATAAGAGAAAAACTACATAATTTAAGTATTTTTCTTTCCCATTAATATCTTTTGTAGATAAAGTATTTGAAATGAATTTTTAATATGTTATTCAGACAGCAAATATCTAGAGTAACCTCAAATATCTTTCAAAAATTCACTTCCGGTCGCGTGTTTTTCCGTCCTCAAAATGAGAAGTTGTGTGTGCAAGATCTCGGAAACGGTAAGAGATTAAGACACCAGACTTATATGAGCAACAGACCTTAAGATGTAGCCAAAACCACTTGGGTTCAGAGCGTCAGCCGTCACTTCCGGTCGTCACGGGAGGTGATCAAAGAAATCAAAAATTTCAACTTTTCTTTTTTTATTTAAGAATTGCATCACTTTATTGCATCTTTTTCGCAGATTCGAAAGATATTGGTCCCACTGGAAACAAAAACGACAACTTCCGGTTATAGGAGAAAAACTACAAAATTTGCGTATTTTACTTTCCTATAAATATTCTTTATACATAACGTATTTGTTATGAATTTTAAATATGTTTTTCAGAATGCAAAGGTCTAGAATAACCTCAAATATCTTTCAAACATTCACTTCCGGTCGCGTGTTTTTTTGTCCTCAAAATGAGAATATTGTCTGAGCGAGATCTCAAAAACAGGTAAAAGATTAAAACACCAGACTTATATGAGCAGCAGAACTTGAGGAGTAGGCAAAACCATTTTGGTTAAACGCGTCAGTCGTAACTTCCGGTCGCCAAAGGAAGTGATCAAAGAAATCAAAAATTTTAACTTTTTTTTTTTTTTAAATTGAAGTTAGCATCACTTTATTGCATCTCTTTCGCTGTATTGAAATATGTTAGTTTCCACCGGAAACAAAAACGTCAACTTCCGGTTTTAGATGATAAACTACGTTATTTCGATATTTAACTTTCTCATAAATATTGCTTAACGATAAAGTACTTGAAATGTTTTTATGCATTTTGTAGATACTGCAAATGTATAGAGAAACGTCAGAGATTTTTTTTTAATAAAATTCACTTCCGGTCGCGTGTTTACCTGTCCTCAGAATTAGAATTTGTTCTCACAATATTGCTCGGCAACAGTAAACGACTGAAGTCTAAAACTTTCAGAACTGATAGTCAGTCATCATTTTATTTGAATTGCGAGGAAATCTTGTATCGTCGTTACTTCCGGTCGTGACAGGAAGTTATGCAAAAAAGTGAATGGTTAATGGTTAGCACGTTGAATTTCACGCTGACAACCAGGGTTAAATCTCCAGAGTGTCTGAATTTCTTTTATCACCTTTTCAGCTTGGATTTACGTTTTTATTTTCAAAATCAGACGGAAGACCTCTCATTGCTCGCAATGAGTTTCTAGTTATTATTATTTTTCTTCCTGGGTACTTTTTTGTCCGTGAGTGATCTCCGAAACTACACATCCGATTGAGGTGAAACCTTTTTAGGGTTAATAGGAATGTTATGTAGATTTGCGGAACGAAGGTCATTTTGCGCGCACGTGCATGCACGTGCGTGCGCGTGCAATGAGTAAAATGACCAATATACTTGATATAGCCATAACTTTCATATCTTTTGATGAAATACTTTGACACTCAGAATATAAGGATATATTAATAGTGTAGACAAGATGACATGGTCAGAATGCGCATGCATGCACGTGCGCGCATGCGCATTGATTGAAATAACCAATACAATTGATATAGACTTAACTTGTACATTTTTTGATGAATTGCTTTGAAACTCAGAATATAAATATATATTAGAAGTGTAGACAAGAAGACTTGATCCACGCACACATGCATGCACGTGCGTGCGCGTGCAATGAGTAAAATGGCCAATATACTTGATATAGCCATAACTTTCATATCTTTTGATAAAATGCTTTGATACTCAGGATATCATGATATATTAATAGTGTAGACAAGATGACATGTCAGAATGCACATGCATGCATGTGTGCGCATGCGCAATGATTGAAATAACCAATACAAATGATATAGACTTAACTTGTACTTTTTTTGATGAATTTCTTTGAAACTCAGATTATAAATATATATTAGAAGTGTACACAAGATGACATGATCAGCGCACACATGCATGCACTTGCATGCACGTGCGTGCGCGTGCAATGAGTAGAATGACCAATATACTTGATATAGCCAAAACTTTCATATCTTTTGATGAAATACTTTGATACTCAGAATATAAGGATATATTAATAATATAGACAAGATGACACGGTCATCATAGACATGCATGCACGTGTGCACGCTTGCAATGCGTAAAATAACAGATATACTTCATATAGCCGATTTTTTTTTTATCTTTTGATGAAATTTGAATATAAAGATGTTTTAAAAGTGTAGACAAGTTGACATGGTCATTTTGTACATGCATGCCCGTGCACGCGCGTGTAATGCGTAAAAAAAACCCTATATCTTGATTGCCTTCTTTAATGAAGCTTACAGGGAATAAGACACCAAAAGGAAGTTGGGGAGCGTTTGGGGAACATCTGTAACGGTCCCCGTTAAAATTAATACTAGTTTATAATATGTCTGTTTGTTGATTCATGTAAACTGTTGCCATCGTTGAGACTCATCTAATAAATACGGAATCCTTCATCATTTGTTTTATCTCTGGAATTGCATATTGGTGGACCTTCGGGAATACGGCACACCTATGCTTTGTTTTTACCTCACGGCCACACAGCGCCTCTACCTATACCTCGTACCCCCCTACGCCAACGTTCCCTCACCCCGTTCGTTAAAAAATTCATGATGTAAAATGCCAAATAAAAATATTACCCCTATAAAGCAACAAAACGCAAAATTTAGTCATATTCCGGACCTTTTTTTGGGGGGTGGGGGGTGGGGTGGGGTGGGGAGGGGGTCCTTACTGTGTTTACTTGTCTAAATATTCAAGACTGTATACTTAAGAAAACAACATGTGCCTTAGCATT